TTCAAGAATGATGTCACAAAGTCATAAATAATTATCCAGCAACAGCATCTCATCCACCAATCAAATGGTTACCACTCGCTCAAAATCCCTCAAAAATCTTTTATTCCCGTCCACATCCCAACAAAAACCTATCAAATCGACTCCCCAAACTTGAATCGTCCCCTACGAATACCACAGATATGCAAGCAAGATAACCTCTCAAGATATTTGGATCAGTCAAAACTGAATCACGCCTATCCAAGCTATCCTTTCTGTCATATTTATTATGTATTCACTTCAATTCGTTATATTCATATCAAAATGATTCTATAATTGGGGAAATTATTGCAACAATACTAATCCTAATCATAATAAATGAAAAACAACTATAATAATAGTGATTGCAGTGTGTACATTCTCTATGAGAATCGATCACTTGTGAGGCATTGAAAAGGAGACTTATACAACCGCATGAGATGAGCTTATGAACTGAAAGATTAAAACAAAAAATTATGAGGAACAAACTCACTTCCGAAATTGTTTGTTGGTGGTCCTGTTCCTGGCGAATAAATCTGAAATTTCAATTGATCCTCAATCCAGGCTTAACTTTCTTTAATGAAAATTTTCCAAATATGAAAATTTTCATCGATCTAAACGAAAACCTGAAGTTTGCTGATGAAATTGCTCTCAAATGAGAATTCGGCGCAAATGAAAAACGAAAACGAATGGATAATCCTTTCCAGCACTCACCGGCTCTCTTCCATCCATAGCGTCAAGCCACTGTCGACGATCCTCTTCACATAACGCTTGCACGGTTATCGACTCAGGTCGATCAATTGCCGAAATGTCGAAACAAAACCTCAAATTCCATATTCTTATTCGCATTATGAAGTATTACCATTTCATGAAATAGTCGCTTTATTCGCGATATTAAACAACTGAAATGAATGTAATCTTGAAATTGATTCGCAAAAAATCACCTTTTGTCAATACTATCCGAAGCTCGTCTCGTACATGACTTCAGCTTGAATGATACCGATTGCCCCAACGCACCTTTCATATCCTTCAAATTCATATCCAGCATTATCAAATCGCTACTACTACCATGACGATATACATATATTAAAATTGTTCATTTAATTGGAATGAACACCTATTTACAACTGATACATGTCATTCTAATTTTCTAACTTCGATCTCAACTCTTTTATCAATAGAACCAAAATAAACAAATAAATAAAATAGTGAGAAATGAACCGTTTTGGCAGTATTATTAACAGGAATCATCGTGAAAATTCGTGTTTCCTTCTGATAGACACAATAATACATCGTCCATCGATTCGACAACACATCACGACCAATCGTTTCTAACAAATATCTTATTCTTATTCATTCGAAAACAATTCTTGAATCTGATTTCAACTCTTTCTCGGCGAAGATCTCTCCTCGAGTGAAACTGAAGCTTGCAATAGCTCTCAACAATGATTCCGTTTATAGATAATTAGGAATATTCTAACGAGATCTTAGATCACGAATCATTCGTAACCGAATCGTTGTTGAAAGTTGCAAAGATAACTGCTCAATTTTCCTCTTGATTGACTGCAAATAAAGGCAAACGTATATAGCAATCAAATTTGTTAATGCGCGGAACAAACGAACTGGGTATTTTGCTCTTCTCTTGAACGAACACATAGCCTTGTTTGATACTGGACGGTGACCTTGGTGGAGCGTTCTCTGCTGATTGCGAGTCTTTACTCGTATCCGACTGGAATATCTGAAACTGATTGCCAATTAATCATCAGATGAAAATTTCAGAAAGAGACGAATACTTTTCCGATTCGGAATTAACCATAGGTATGTCAGAACTCATTAGTTTACTGCCAAAATCACACTCTATACTATAAATGAATGAGACTTCAATCTTTCCACGTATTCGTGATGAATGAAAAAAAAGAATGCAATGGAGCATAGTAAAATACAAGTTAATAGTAGCATTCAGAAACAAAAATAAAAATGAGAACTTGACTGAATGAATCACTTATGATACATTGAAGCATTCCGCACGGATCTTCTGCACAAACAAAAAACTCATAAATTCGAACGAAAATAAACTTTCAAAACGGAGTAGTCGACAAAGCGATTAAGAAATGACCGTATTCTTGAGGTGAGTTGCAAGCATTTTCTTTTTTAGTGTGTCGTAACATTCTTTCGTTTCGTCGAAACTTTGCTTGGCCTGCAATACAGGAGCTGATAGATTAGATTTAA